GTGCTTCTCCAATTTCCTTCAACAATCCATTCGTTACTCAAGTCATACTTAGTCTCACACTACTAAGAGTAACCTTATAAGCCAAACTTAAATCTCTAATTTGAGCCAAAAGGATTCATCTCTCTAATCATAAGGGAAGATAAATATAAAGGTTTCCTACACAAAACATCGATCACCCCAATGGCTTTAGCCAAAATAATAAATAAGATCAAAATCTTATTCCTTAAGAAATTCCAACTATCTCTTTTATCTCATATTTAACTCCTTTGGTCAAAAGATATTTAAGGTTCTTATGATCACTAAATACCTCAAGCTTAGAATCATATAGTTAGTGTCTCCAAATCTTAGTATAAACGACAAAATCGCTAACTCAAGGTTATGGGTAAGGTAATTCCTCTCATGAATTTTCAATTTCCTAGAAGCATAAGCTACTATTGTTTCTTCTTGCATCAACACTCTGTCCCAACCTATCTTAGAAACATCAACCCATACCACAAAAGGCTTACTAAGATCGGCCAATGCTCATACTAGCGCACTAGTCGATCTTTCCTTAAGAATTTGGAAACTACTCTCACACTTACTATCTCACACAAAATAACACTCTTCTTACTCAATCTGTTCAAAGGTAACGCTATCTTAGAAAGTTACTCAACAAATATCCAACAACAATGAGCTAATCCAAGAAACTCATAACCTCGCTAATAGACTCATGTATCTCTCACTTAAGCACAACTTCTATCTTAGATAGATCTACGTTATACCTCCGCAAGAAATTACAAGACCTAGAACACTCATCTCATACAGTCAAAAATCATACTTAGTTAATATATCCTAAATTTATCTTGGATATATCTTCACACTTAACTCTTAATATGATGATATCACATCCTAAGGTCAATCTCATTAATACACAAACATCCACTAATTGATCCATAAAGTCATCTATCCTCATATCAACATACATGCATATCAAATCAGCAGAACGGCCCGTTCTAATTCCAGAACGACCCGTTCTCCAAACCAGAATGGCCCGTTCTCCAAACCAGAACGGCCCGTTCTCCAAACCAGAACGGCCCGTTCTGCTTCTACAATTTTGGCCATACTCACTATTCCAGAACGGCCCGTTTCAAAATTGAAACGGCCCGTTCTAGGCCACGAATTGGGCCTTTAGCCCACGAAAAATGGGCTGTTACACTCATGAAAGAAGATGAAGAAGAAGTTTGAGACTCACGAAGTCTTTCCTAGGTTTTGACAATTATTTTGAATTAAAGTTCTAAACTCTTTTTAATTTTTTATTCTTTTAATATAAAAAATAGAAAATATTTTATTAAATTGACTACTGATGTAACACCCTGAATTTTCTACTGTTACAATATCAATTATTATATATTTTTTTTATATTTATGATTATTTTTATAGTTATTTTAGTTAATTAAAGGGATTTTTATAGAATATTGTAAAGGTTTTTAATAATTTAAATTATTTATGAAATTTTTTATAAAATTGTTTTTTTAAGGCTAGAACAGGCTGTTCCAAAAGTGGAACGGGCCGTTCCAAACGATGAACATAAACTATTTTTGAAGTGGCAGAACGGGTCGTTCCAATGTAGTAAAAAGACTCATTTTGATTTCTCCAGAACGGGCCGTTCCCAAATGGAAACGGGCCATTCTGGAATTCTAAAAATTCCTAAAAAGGTTAGTTAGAAAAGGGGCGTTTCAAGTATGGTCAATGTGGGTTAAAATCATCCCCAGAACGGGGAGTTTTGATTTAAGAACGGGTCGTTCTTGTGTTGAGAACGGGCCGTTCCACTTATGGTCAGTTTGTGTTAAAAGGAACCCTAGAACGGGCCGTTCTAATTTTAGAACGGGTCGTTCCAGTTGAAAAATTTGCCTATATTCGAAGGATCCGGAACGGGTCGTTCCAAATTCAGTACGGGCCGTTCCGGGTACGTTAGAATGCCTATAAATAGGGGCAAGGGGGTGAAAAAATGATACAGAGTGAGAAGGTAAAATCTTAGAGAGAGAAAGAAAAGAGAGAGAGAGAGAGAGAGAAAGAAAGAAAGAAAGAGGGAATCCAGAGGAGGAGGCCCTGCCCAAGTTTCAAGTTTCAACTCTTGCTTATCCAGGTAAGGGGGGAGTGAGAAACCTCGCTAGGGGGTGTGGAGATAATTGTTGGATAGTTTGATTGTCAGATTGGCCCTCAATCCTTGCCTGGTGTTCTGTTTTATTTTCTATTTGTTCTACTTTGTTCCTTGTTGGAAGTAATAAATGAATATGTGATTAATGTTAAAAATAAATGAGTTTTAATATGAATAAGAATGCTTTCTGTGAATCTCTGTGAATTCCTGTGCGGACCTTATGAGGAGTATTTATGACATGACCATGTGAAATATGGACCAATGACATGAAACATAAGAATGAACTATTGAGACAAGTTATGATTATGAGAATATGAAAAATAATGACATGATGTACTAAATTAAATTTTGTAATAAGTTAAATGTTGAGTCAATGAAATAATAAATGTATGACATGCATCATATGCATATATTACTCCAGGTGTGCCGCTGAGGCCGCATACCAGTGACTAACAAGGTGTACCTTTAGGTCACCCACGACTAACAAGGTATACCTTAGGGTCACCCACGACTAACAAGGTGTACCTTTGGGTCACCCACGACTAACAAGGTGTACCTTTGGGTCACCCACGACATGCTAACAAGGTGTACCTTAGGGTCACCAGTGATGTAACCAGGTGTACCTTAGGGTCACCAGTGATGAATTGTGAAACTTCCGTATGGCGCCACATGCATGCATATATGAGTCGATTCCATGACATCATTGCATGATAAATGAATATATATGTGATATTGATGATGTATATGTATTGTTTACATGTGACTTATATTTGTGTGTGTGTGTGCTATCTAATCTTTATTTCTGCACCTGAAATTGAGTGAGATGTTTCTCACTCCCTTGTTGCTTTTGTATATGTTTAAATTATGTTGCAGACGATCATCATCATGAGGATGTTGGTGATGAGGTTTAAGGCTTCAGTTGGGCATGCTCTGATAGGATGTGACATCGGGCATAATTAGGCTTAGTTGAGGATGTTATTGTTTTGAAAGTTTTAGTTCTCTTTTCTTTTGTAATTTTGAAAGGAGAAACCGTCGCAAAATTTGCGCCGGTTCCTCCTAACCGTCGCAATGTTTGAAAATTTCACAACGGTTTTGAGAGAAGCCATCGCAATGTTGAAAAATTTTGCGACGGTTGGGAGAAACCGTCGTAATGTTGGAAAATTTTGCGACGGTTTTGGGAGAAACCGTCGCAATTTTGAAAAATTTTGCGACAGTTGGTAGAAACCATCGTATGAAGGGTCGCAATATCAAAGCGACGACGGTTTCAAGATAACCGTCGCAATTTGTCCTTCGCAATTCATCATTTTCCTTGTAGTGAAATGACAAGCAAAGATAAATTACTCTATAAAATTATTAGATTAAAGGAAAATGAATGATGATGCAAGCAGCAAAAAAGTAATAGTAACGATCATAATGACAATGAAAATGATAATGATTGTGATTGTGATTGTGATTTTAAGTAAGTTTTTTTTAATGTAAGTCATTATTTTAATCTAATGGTCAACATTGAAAATTTTCATTCTCACTCTAAGTCATTTATAATAATATAATTAATATAAAAATTTTACATTTAATACTTTTTTCCTTAAAATATTTTTGTTATTTTCAATGAGATTAATCATTACAATACAAAGAACTTTTAATAATATTTGAAAAATGTTATCTAATTTGTGTATAAGTGTTGCTAATTTGCTTTTGCAACATATATATATTACTAAATGTTGTATATAGTCCATGTTACTAAAGACTTTTAATAACATTTTTATACAATTAGGTAATATTTTTCAAATGTTATCAAAGTGATATTTTTGTAACATTTTAATGATGTTGCTAAGTTTTTGTTAATTTTATAAAATAATAATTAGTTTTAATTTAAATAATGCTATCAATTATTATATTTTTATGTTCCCTAAACTCTTAGGAGTTCTGTAAAAGAAGGTTGAAGACATTCTTAATTAGTCATTACTAATTAATTATATGTCAAATATCAAAAAACCCATTTAGCTTAAAGTATAATTATATGATTATATATATTATTTATAAGTCATTTATGTATTCGATGTGAGACTTTAATTATGAGTAACAATTAGATATGAGAGAAATATTTTTTTTATTCAATGTGGAACTTTAATTTTAGAAACAAGAATAATGTTGAGATAAAGAAAAATGTTACTTATTTTAGTAACATTTTTCAAAATAAATATTACAAAATAACTTATGTGACATTTTTTTTATTAAATATGAGACTTTGATTTTGAAAACAATTGAAAAGAATAATATTGAAATAAAAATGTAACTCTATCTATAATAACATTTATAAAAAAAAATATATTATGCAAAATAACCTATTTATTCAGTATATAGTAACATTTTAACAAATATAAAAAAGAAAATATTGCTTAAAACTTAAAATATAATAATGAATTCATTCAATAAATGTGTTTAAGTTTGGTCGGGTTCAAGTCTTGGATATATATTTAACTATGCTAAGTATTTAAAAGAAAAACTTTATCTTTTATAATAATTTTACTTAACTTAAATAGAATTGTCTCAAATAAATAAATAATAAACTTATGATTTAATAAAAATCGCTACATATGTTTGAGTTTTTGAAGTATATAACTTATTTTTTTCCTCTCCTTATCTTTTCTTTTTCTAAAACAAAGCACTAATCTTTAGTATTTCGCCTGGTTTCATGTTAGTACAGAAATAATTACATTGACTGTCTTATTTTAGAATCCATCCTCGCAAATTTATGTAGTGCGGGCTTAAAAATCATTTATTAGGACAAACATTGTTAACAAAATTGAAGAACTTTGTTAACATCAAAATGGAACACTCAACGCCAAAATTGGGAAAGAGATAAAGACAGACTAATAATAGAGCCATTTTATTATACTTTTTTCAGTTCATCGTCACACATTCATTTTGGGAAAGCTGCGATTAATATAGATGAAAATTATATTTAGCAACTATAACAAACACATGTATGAAACTGAATGCCACAGGATCCATGTGCAGTTTGTGATTTGAAATATGCTTTGCAATGACTGTCGCAATCATTCTTGAGTGGATCACAATGATCATTTGGCAATCTTACTACATCACAATCAGGCACCACTGCCATTTCAACTTGTTTTCCTACACCAAATTAAACAATATATATGATATATACAGCCACATACATAATCTTGTATTCAATACACACAAAACAAAACTGAATATCTTGAACATGTGAGGGAAGAAGTGCTTACCAGAATCAATCAAGAGAACAAGAAGGAGGAATGAAAAATAAAAAGAGATTTTCATTTTCTTGATTTTGGGAAGAAGTTAGCTTTCGATAGAGACAGATATCATAGAAGAGAGTTCCTTACGTATTTATAAGCTTCAAATTACAAAATGATAAAAAAAAAAATTTACTTATTTTCTTCACTAATAAATGTTATCTTAAGTTATTTTATATTTCTTTTGGACTTATATATATATATATAAAATATTTAATTTTTTTTAATTGAAAATAAAATCAACCTTATTTAATATCATTAATCTATAAGCACTCTTATGGTAATTTCTATTATGAATGTGGTTAAGGATATTTCAAAAAATGTGGTATATATTTTATGTAAAATTGTAAAAATTATATATTTAATGAACTTTTTAATATGTGTGAAGTTAGTTATTTATATATATATATATATATATATATATATATATATATATGTGTGTGTGTGTGTGTGTTCAGAAGAAGTACAGATTAAAAAAAATCTAATAAATATATGAAAGAATAATAATTTTATAAAATTAATCTTATTAATCTTTTTTATTAGAAACATGCAACATAATAACTATTTTATTAAAAATATTATGGCGGGGGTAAATGGAAAAGGGACATTAATACTACATATTAAAAAGTTAATAATATTGGGACTAATATTTTTCTTCAAATAACATACATTTATTATGGGATGGAGAAAGTATATTATAAAGAGATTTTTTTTTCTTGATGCATCATTAATTCTTCAAATTAAATATATCGAAATACTACTCCTTTATATTTATCTTTTGGATGTATATATAAGCAAAACATTCTTAAATTTTTAGACTAAAACATAAATAAATTTTAATAAAGTCAACGTTTTTCAATATTTTTAAATTAAAAATATTCCTATGACAATAAGTAGAATCATTATTTACTATATATGTGTGGTTAAGAATATTTTAATAAATGTAGTTTATATTTTATGTAAAATTGTGGAAATGAAATGTATTTAATTAACTTTTTTAATTTGAGTGAAATTGATTTTTTTACTTCTATATAAATCCAAAAAAAAAGTATCATGTAAAGTGAGTTTTTTTTATTATATGTTTCTTGTCAAATTAATGAGTTGTTGACTTTTATGTCCAAAATTATTTTCTTTTCATAAGATTGTTTCACAATTATGACCACTTCTTTAATAATATAATAATAGTAATAAAAATATTAAATATAAATTAAACTCATTGACTTTTATTTACACGTTTTGAAGACGATTTATATAATAAAAATATATATTTAATTTTCACTGTGCAAAAACTCATTGAATTAATAACAAGTATAGTACTATAAATTAGGGATGGAAATGGGGTCCGTGGGGTGGGTAATAGTAAACCTGTCCCTGTCTCGCCAGATGAAAATTGGTCCCATACCCACTCCATATTCGCGCGAGTATCCATTAAGCGGGTATCCATGAATTTCTTAAATACTCACGGATATCCATGGATATCCATTGATATTTATAAATCTTTTAATAAATTAAAAATATTATATTATAAATAATTTTAAGTTTATATCTAATGTCATTAAAATATTAAAAAATAAAAACCCATTGTTAATTTTAAACTTGTATTTAATGTTAATTTTGTTGAAATAATAATAAAAATGTAAGATTTTTTTTTTGTTCGTCCCTGGAATATTCACCGTCGATAGCGGTGACTAATCTCCTCGCTACGAGGGAGGCACCTCAAAGGGTGGGATAGCTGACCCCAAGGTTTAACGCGCGGCTGCATACACAAGGCAGGATTCGAACCCCTACCGCTAAATTACACGCTTGGGGTTAAAAAATGCAAGATAATTAATAACTTAATATACATTAATCTCACAAGTAAGTTAAAGTCTCATCACAAAGCTATAATAATTCAATCTCATAATTTCAAATGAAAGTAAATAACTTACAATACATAAATTTTATTAGTCCAATCAAAGTTAGAAAATCAATCAAATTACATCCAACATAATTCTATAACATGCTTAACACATGTTGGTAACTTTATCAACATCACTTTTGTAAGAAAATAAGATGAGAGAGTATAGTTTTGGGGTTATATGGTACAAGGATAATTAGGATATTTAAGAAATATTATTAAAAGGTACCCGCGGGTATAGATATCATCATACCCACCCCCGCCCCGTTTATAAACGGGTAAAAAATTATTCGTCCTCATTATCTGCGGGTACCCAATTAGCCTACCCATTTATTATCCGTAACGGGTTTTACCCGCAGATACCCGCGGGTGCGGGTATTTTTGTCATTCCTACTATAAATGAAACTAGTATATGACCTAATGGATCGAGAATATCCATGACAAGAAAAAAAAATGAATTAATTATTAATTAGTAATTTAATATGTATAACATTAAAATATGATTTTTTATATTAATATATTATTAAAGAATTAATTTTAAAATTAAATTGTCAACCTTTGAAAAAGTATATTATGAATGTGAAGTATTCACCGTTTGCCCATAAATAAATTTTTATTGGAGAACTTAATTAGTTATCATTAGTTAAGTTTTTTTTTTCTAAACCACTTTTTTTTCTTATTGTCACAAGATTTGAAGTCAAAATAATCATTAAAATATATTTATAACGTTATTTTTGTAATGAAATACATATATATATATATATAAATGTATTTTTGGTCTTTATAATATACTTTTTTTATTGATCCTTGTAAAATCATTATTTTAAGAGTTAATCATCTATACACTGTCGGAGTAAAGCTTTTATACTGGTAACCAATCATATCTTTTAAAGTTGCTTATTTTATTATTATTTCATTAAATAAGTAGCTGACATAATACTATTAAAATATATGATTGGTTGCCAGTGTAAAAAAACTTTACACTGACAATGTATAGGTGATTAACTCTTATTTTAAATGGTACTCATAAAATTTATTTTTTTAATAATTTTATTTTATTCCTTGTTATTTTATTTTTTCCTTATAATGTATCTACTTTTTATTTTACTCTTTATAATATCTTGTCTATTTGAGTTAGTCCTTACGAGAGAAAAAAATATTCGTAAAAATTAAAAGTAAACTATTCACATATTATCAGAATTAGAATAATAAAAAAAAACAAATATGTTATAAAGACAAAACAAGATAAATTTTATAAGAATCATTTAAAAAATAATTTAGAAAGATAAAAAAATTTATAAAAATTAAAAATATATTTAAGTCTTATTTTAAAATATAATTAATTATAAATAATATTTTCGATGATCCATAATTTTTATATTTTAAGTTTTTACTTTTGATCTAAAATTTTTTATCATTTACATATTTCAAGAAATATTCTTTAACTTTTTTTTGCATATACCTCTATTTAACAATAATTATTTATTCTTTAATAATATTAATTTTGTTAAAAATATTACATAGAGGTATTTTATACTTAATATTGAATTTTTTTTAAGATATAGTACAAAAACCTTAAATCAAAAAGTATAACGGAGATGGTGTATATTTTTCACAAAAAATGATAAAATAATGAAAATCTGAAGCATTTATAAAGTTGACTATTTGGGTCATTTTTCGAGAAGAAAATATCTTCTAAAACGTTAGGGTAACATAAAAAATTCAGTCAATTCAACAATTATTTAATGCTCATAAATTTCTTTTTAACAGATTCTCTACTCCATCTGTTGTGTATATTTATAAGAAAAAAAATTGGTTTTATGTGTATTTAGAAAGTTAGTTATTTGTATTTAATTTTATTATTTTTATGATATTCTTTCTAAATTGTTCTTATAAATGTCAAAAAGAAGTAATGCAACTAAAAGGTCATATATTAAAAAATGAATATTTTAAAATATTATTAAATAAGATAAAAGTAGTCAAAATTTGTTTATATTTAAGAACATAAAATATATTTTTTTTCATATAATAGAGAGCAAAGGGAATACTTTTCTTCAAAAACGTTCACATTTCACTACGGATAGCAAAATGGACTTGAACCCTACGGACACCTACAAAAACATTCGTATATGGGACAGGTAATTAAATATCTGCTTATATGGGGATGGCGTCACAATCAAGCTCACAACAGGATGACAAAAATTGAAAATGAAATGAAGTTGTCGCCAATATTTATTTTTAGGAAAACATAAAAAAAAATCTTAGAATAAAATGGCCTTCAAAAATCAAATTTTGAGTTCTAGAGTCAATTACGTATTGGGAAGCTATTAGCATCCTAAAACATCCATTAACACTTACCTTTAATTAAATGTGTAAATTAATGTTACTTTAAAATTGTTTATTTCACCCTTAAGAAAATAAAATTATTTAGCCCTTATTTGTATATTAATTTATTATTATTATTATTATTATTATTATTATTATTAATTTTATTATTTTTAAGAAAAAAGAAGAATTATTATTTTATTATTATTAGCTCCTACTTTTCCTCGGGTACAATGAGGAAATCAGACTACCTAGTTCTTTGTGACACCCTCTATCCCGCATACCATAAATACATAATTAATGAAATCCGAGTAACTTAATCTTTCATTATTAAAATACCAAATGTGCTTAGATAGAGAGCACCACATCCATGACTTAAACAAAGAACATTATCAGCGAAACTTATAAAAGAAATAAGGCTAAGGTTTTCAAAATAATTTAATAAAAATAACATCCTAATATAATCCTATCAACACCTTGATGTCACATGTCCTATCAGAGCAAAGTCCAACACTTCATCACCAACATCCTCAGTCTCATGCTGATGATCACCTGTATAACAATCAAAGGAAAATAACAACACAAAAAGAAAAGGGAGTAAGAAACATCTCATTCTAGCTCACGATGTAGAAATACATACCGGATAGTCAAACACAAACAAGAAATGTATATGAACATAGCATAGATAGATTAACAACAATATCGCATGCCACTCATCCAAGACATAAAAATTACTTTAACATATAACATAAAAAATGCACATGTAATGGACACAGACTACATAGTATCTTGCATGTAGCGCCAGTAACACATCACATGGTGCATTGCTGCTAGCAACACACGTAGAGTAGACTA